GAGGAGGAGGGGGGAACAGCACAATGTCATGTTTTCTATTATAATATGAAACTAGCAAGTCGAAATATTACCATGTTATGAGATCCGACTGTAAAGTTTCATCACGATCCAGAAATAATCTTGCATCTATATCTTTGTTTTTAAGGTAGAGCTCTTCATATTGCTTCGAAATGACTTCGACCTCAAAAAAAAAAGTTTAATAGCAATAAGCTTGAGAATTTACTGAGTATCATAATCTACTTCAGTCTCATGAATACAATATTGAAACTCTTAAGAGAATGACCTTGGATCTTACAGCCACTTCTTAAACAAACAACATGAACCTACCCAGAAGAAAATTATCATTCCCACATGCAAACAGAAGGTAAGCTTTTATAACAGAAAACAATCCAGGATCATGAGACATTTCTGAAGAAACGTAAGCTCTGACACTGTAAAAGAGCTAAAACAGCAGGAGTGCAAGTCAGACCTCCAAATCAAACTAATGCTTCCAGGCTTTTAAATATGTGCTTCCAGAATAAAAAGGTGCCTCCAGGAGCAGAAAACTAAGCGAGTATCTTTAGAACAGCTACTAGACAAGCTACTGTGTCCCTTCCTCTGCTGGTTCAGGAGATCAAGGACAAAACCCAAACTCCAATCTTGTTATTCTGAGTGTAGGTAGAGCCTTCCTCTTCCACATTACCACCAGTATAGATTTTAAGAAACAAACCTACTTTTACAAAACCAGACATTAATTCACAACACGTTAACGCTTCTTAAATTACTTCCAAAAAGCTTGAGTCAGTTAGATCGTATGCTGATTTAATTCCATTTTGCATGGAAAAGTATTTACTTTTCTTTGAGTGACTAACACAGACTGGAGGTCTGGTATTTTTAATCAAGGCCTTCAGACACTTCTCCAACTCTGCTGTTGTGCTCCTGCAGCAGCAGGCAGTCATCTCACAGTGACCTATTCCCCGAGGCCCTGCGCACACACACACAGTAATCATGTGCTCTGGCAAGCTCCAGCTATACAAATAGCCAACACTGTCTATGAAAACAGACTAGCCCTAAACACTCCCAAGAAAAACAATTCCCAAGAAGCTGCAAATACCTCATACAGAGCTTTGCTCCTCTTCATCTCCCTCTAGCTTTGAGAAAGAAATTTGCAACAAGCTCATCTCTAGGTTAAAACCCCCAAGTAAGACTATTAAATCAAAGATGATCTTTAGAATCCAACTATTTGATTTTTTTCATTAAAATTTTGTCATTTTCCTAATGTTTCAGCATGCTGTTCATCTGAAATATTTCCATATTTTATGAACTCCTATGAACCTAAGATTCTCTCACTGCAAAAAGCAGATATTAGCCCCAACTAGGAAGAAATATTCAACCAAAACTCAAAATTCTGAATGAGTCTAGTCTTTAGTTCATTCTTCAATAGTCTTCAAACATACACTGAAGACGCACAATACCAACATGAAGGCCCAGAAGCTTCTTATGTTAGAAGCAAAATTAAAATTTATCAAAAGCTTAGTGCGTTTTATGAATATAAAGGTCAATTTTAAGTGTCCAATATTATTACGTATTGTACTGATGATCTCAACTATGGCTGATAGTGGCTTGGTTTGCAAACAAACTGACTACCTCTGAAATATACCTATAATGTTCTGCTTTGCTTTAGAACCTGCCCGGGGACATAAATGTTTCAGGAACAGGAATCCTGTGACAAGATTCTTCCTCAAAGGCATAATTTCATCAAATTTTTATCAACAGTCTTGGACTGGTAACTTTTATACTGTGCTTAGTAAATTAAGCAGCCTCAATTGAGAACCCTCACTGATGTGAGGATTAGTGAGTGTTACAATGATCTTCGTCCGCAAGGCCAAAAAAGGACTTCCGAACAAGACAGCCAGAAATGTTGTTATATTACAGCTTTTATACACGCATCAAGAATGATGATACGAAACATGAATGTCACAGTGATTCCCAAATTCAATTGGAAGAGATAAAGAACTCCAATGGGTCTTGTTACCTGCACCTTCCCAACACATCAATAACCTAAACAGAACTTATATATGACTGAATCCTACAGGAATTCAGTCTGATAAACTTCAGTAGTTCCATACTCTCAGGCTACCATCTCTACACTAACAGCCAGCTTAAATCTGATGCTCTAAGAATGATGTATGTAAATACTTTGCAGAACATTACTTTTATGCAATCACATACTAAATAATGTTTTACAGGTAAACTGCCATATCCAGGCTACAGCTTGGCAAGAAAGTAGTTCTAGAAAGCAGCCCAAACTCTGCCAGCTGGAAAGTAGTTGTAGAAAGCAGCCCAAACTCTGCCAGCTGCAAAACTCATCCTAATCTTGCATACATTTCCTATACGACCAAAGTAACGTAACTCAATTATATATAAATGAAGACTGCATGCATTTACTGATCGACTTTAGAAACTTGATATTGTAATAGCTATAATTCTAGATTCTAATAATATATAATTTTAAATTGATGTTCTCATCAAGCCCATGGGTATGAAACACTATATAACATTGAACTGGGAAGCCAGGGAGGTCACTGGTTCAGTCTCAGAAAAGAGACTCTGATGTAAAATTACCACAATTAAAAAACAAACAAAAAAGCCACCACTCCATTACAGGTCCTGGAATCCCTGTTAAGCCACATACCTAAAAGCAAAGTGCATTCTTAGGTGATTTTATGTATTGATAAAGTTCTGGTAAGCTCTTCTGAAGAGAATCGTGAGGAATTTAATAATCTTAAGAATTTGGCGTGAAGCAAAACCTAACTTAACTAGGTTAAACTATTCTAATTACCTCTGGTAGCCCATTTGAGGCTACAATGTTAAGTGAATTCAAGAAGGGAATAAAGCTTGTGAAATACACATTCTTGACCTAGAAAAAGAAAAGAAAAGCATAACATCAGCAATGTACAGAGGCAGTCATGCACATGTTGCTTTTGCATGTGTAAAGCAAAAAACTAAATGGCACACTGTTTGGTAATGCACCATGCTTTGGTTTTGATAAAGGAAAAATGAAATTGCCTAATCTAATGCTTCAGATTCTAAACAAACAAACCCAGCATAGCAACAAAAACCCACAAAAGGAATGGATTTATCACCAGTGCAGAAAGAGGATGGTGCTTTAAGCATACTACATACTCAACACACGACACGTTCGATCAGCATGTAACCTTGCACTGGGTCTCTGCAGTGCCTTCTCCCTGGTAAGGTCATTACCCATAAAGTGCCTTTTCTTCCTCTGCATTAGAGAAAGACCTTCACTAATGAACCTCAGAGAATAATTAAGCACAAGCAGAAAGACTTAAAAGACTCTTAATAAATGCATATTTTAGATCTTGCTGCTAACCAACTTCTAACATCACACTTCATAAAACACAGCCATTACCTCATCTAAATTACAATCATGCTCTTTACAAAGGACTTCAATAACTTTTGTATCTGTATCAATTTGCTTTGAAGCACGTGCAGTCCTGTTCTGACCTCTCCTTGGCGTTCGAGCTGAACCATTAACAGTCACTGAGCTCACAGCAGATCCTGGAAAGACAGTCAGAACCATCACAAGGTTAGTCTTAAGGAGTTTTAGAGATTTAAGGTTTTTTTTTTTTAATCATTTTTTTCAGACACTCTTTTCTCAAATTTTTCCTTTTTGCCTGTTAATCTGGATAAGAAAATCACAGAAAATTCATAGAAATAGATATTTTTAAAATTAAAGTATTTGGACATTTTGAACAGCTATTCAGCACAGAATTAATAGCTTTTTTTGTATGTAGCTCCAGTTATCCAGCTGTCTTGCAAAGCTAGGCAAGCCTTTTCACAGATGAATCTCCATTTTTTCATATGTATATTTTTGAGCGTGAAACAACGAGCAAAAGGAGCAATTTCATTTTATGTTTTAGAAGGTTAATGAAGCCACCCTGGGGTTAACTACTGGTGGGAACCTAGAATATGGTTCTGTAGAGACTTCTTCACCAAATGCTACTTGTCAGAAGTATTTTAAAACATTGATATCTTCTCCAAGGTAAATGAGATATAAAAACCTTGAAATGTTCTATTAAGCTTAAAGTAGATGCTTTCCATATCTTAAATATGAAATGTCTTAATAACAGTAATAACATATGTCAATATAATTAACAGTTGCTGGTATAAAGATTATATTCTAATCATCACGCTATTCTCATCTGCAACTTCATTTGCATTCGGTAACTGTTTTATAAGAAAACTGTTCCATAAAAAACAACCTGACAACCTCAATTGCTTTGCTGTTTGCATCTTCATGCCCTCCGTGGCAGTCATGTCATAAGACATGACATCACTTTACACAACATGAGGCCTCTCAGTCAGGAGGACTTAAGAGCACATTGTGTTCTCTCTCTGCTAAAAGAGTGGAGCAGCTCTGAGTGACAGTTTAAACAGGACCTGAAAAATGATGCAGCTCGAGTGAGAAATCTAGTGCTTTGCACTCATAACTGACACCCATATCTGTAATTTAGTCTTAAATAGTAAGTTTTTTTTTATTTCCTTTCAAGATACAACATTAGAAATTGACTTTCTAAACAAGTTGCTGCCCTTCATAGTTCCACTAAAAAAGTGTGAGCAGAATTTAAAAGCAAGACAGTCCAGTTCAATTCAACATTGTATTTAAAATAAAACTCAAATTTAAATGAGACTAATAACTTTATACATTTGAACTGAGCAGGCCGTCTTACAGATTTAAATTCAAAGAAGAACTGGAGGGCAGGGATTTATTAATCACAGGCCTATCCTTTCTTAACCCTTTTTTATTTGTATTGCAATTTTAGGAAATAAACTTTTGCACAGGTTATTCATCTTTAGCTACAACCACCAACTACTAGGTCAGATAAATACCCTCAAAAACATGGCTTTTAGAGACCAAAGTATTACAGCGAGTGTATAAGACTATTAACTCCAGTGTCCTACCCAAGCCCACCAGACAAAAAAAACCTAATCAACAACAACAAAGTGTTTTCCGCATGCTGTAGCTCTAAATACTTTAGTATGTATCAATTTTCTAGCTCATGGAAAAGAAATATTTAACGGAAGTATAATTCTCTTTCTCAAAGCTACAAGTAAATATTGGCTAGGTCTTTCTAAGTAAGATTTCCCAGACCCCAGGTATGGCAGCTCAATGAACAAAAAATTAAGATCCATTATGTTTTTACTTAAAATAAGAAAGAGACACTTGCCAATATAAATCAGATGAATAAAATATAAAACTATCTACCCTTCTCCACCATTTCATTTTTAGCTACCACTGCAACTGGGCCTTTTTTTTTTAATCCACCATATATTTTCTTTTAAGCAACTGTATGGCCCAGTATCACACACACTCAGGTTATCATTTCTTTTTCTTTGACTTATAGCAAAGTCATAGCACAACCTTTTCCTTCTGCAACATAAAAGCAAGGCTAAACAACAGTTTTAAATCATGTTCTGCCCAGACCCCTCTTCTCTTTTACTAGTCAAATACAATAATTTGAATAAGCCCCCTCATCTACTCGCCTGAGTACAGCGCACAGCGAAAGGATGGTAGGAATAGAAACAGCTCTGTTATATAAAGTATGCTGACACATTCAGATAACCTAAGTCATGTTCATGATCATCTAAATTAAAATACCTAAAATTGTGATTTATCAATTAATTGTGGATGCTAGAAAGACTCTATTTGAAATTAAACTAATATACTTTCTACTTTAACTTAGTGATTAAAGGAAAAAAATAAAAAAAAACTTAAATCCTTACTATATGGTTCCTTGAGCATGGCAGGAGGTGACAGTTTGATAAAATAATCTAAGACGCATAACAACAACTGGAAAGAAATCACCAGGTCATCTTCCATCTGCAACACCTTACCTGCAAACATTGCAAAGGAAAAGCCTGTGAGAAGATGCCTAAATTTATTTTAAAGTCATCTTGGAAAAACAAAGATTTGGAAGTTGATTTAATAAAACACCAGAGTTAAAAATCAGAAATAATCAAACTGGATGGCGATATTTTTTAAAGCCTAATAGTTTTACAACTCATGATTCTTCAGAGGTTTGTTTCCCTGACGAGTAAACATACTCTGCACAAAATTCTTACCTCTCAGTGCTCCTCCATTATTTCTTTTGCCATTTTATCACAGTGGAGAAATAACACAGACTATTTAACCTACACGCATCACTTCTGTGCAGTTCCTCCTCATCTTTTTTGTGGTCTTATTAAGTAACTTTGTGAAAGCAGGTAAGTATTTGGAAAGAATGAGTTACTAGTGTACAGAGAAGAGAAAAATCAAAACATAGCAACTATCATGCTGAATACTTGGTCTGTCAAATTTATAATGAAAAACGACCCATTTACTAATCACAAAAATATTAACATGAACATCACTTTAACACCTACTTTATTCTAATTGTTCCCAAATTATGATTCATAGTCCAGAAGAGATCCAAATGACCATTCCAAGACTGCATGAAACACCATGAGGTATTTGGAGAGCTGACACTGAGCCAGAACAGTTGGAGATCACTATGTTTGCTATTTTTACATAGCCAAGTTTTTATCTTCCCTCGGTATTAAGAGTTAGCAAGCACCACCTACATTCTCCTGTGGCTTCAATTATTTGCTGGTAGAATTTTGTATTTCCTTATTCTGAAGGAACAGTCAGGATAGAAAACTACAGGTTTTGATTTATGCTTATGCTGGAGAATTCTAGTTTAAAAGCTCCACTAGGATCAAATGCTCTAAGACAGACTTAAATAGCAAAGACACTTAAACTTTCCCCAATAATAAGCGATTTAGAGTAAGTGGCAATTAGATAGAATCATAGAATGGTCGGGATTGGAAGGGACCTCTAGAGATCATCTAGTCCAACCTCCCTGCTCCAGCAGGGACACCTAGAGCACAGGACACAGGGTGGCATCCAGGCGGGTTTGGAAGATCTCCAGAGAAGGAGATTCCACAACCTCTCTGGGCAGCCTGATCCAGGGCTCTGTCACCCTCACTTAAATTTTTCTTTAAGTTCCTGTGGAACTTTTGATACTTTAGTTACATCCTATTTCTTTCTGTAAGAGTCATATAATGAGACGCATATTGTTTTGGCACTTAACTTTAACTGGGCTGCCTTTTCAAAGAAGAATGTTTTTGTTTGTAAGAAAAAGTTTCAGGGACTTATTAAAAAAACCTGCCAGTCACTTCTGTTAATTGGCCTTTTATTAAGGCACCAATAGACTGTAAAGCATCTCAGAATGGACTTGAATGCAAAATATCAGCCTTAAAAGTTAAATAAATAAATAAAAAGTCAGCTTGACACAAAAACTTATAGTAAGTAATACCAGGTAAAAAACAGTCAAATTGTACAGAAATAAATATTTCTGAGTAGCTTTAAAAAAATAAAATTAGGAAAAAAAAAAAAAAAGAGAGACCTATAACCAGAATATTTGTAACAAGGATCCTGTTCTCATATTGGGCACGTAAAATAAATTTGTGATCTCACACCAAAAATATCCATGAAAATAACTACCCTTTAATGAAAACCTCACCTTTTGCCAGCAAAAAAGTAATCCAGTAGTTTTTCAGGACTAATACAGAATTGAGTTCAGCAGGAACCCTGTGAGGAGACAAAATAAAAACTGCATATTAACTGATTTATAATAATTTTTTTCAATAAATGTTTCAGTCTATGGAACAATTTAAGACAACATTTGACATTTCTCATTTAGTTAAGATTTCATCATATTCCCTATAAAATTAAGACCACGTATTCGAAAAAAAAATCAAGTTCTGTAAAACCATTCAAGAAGTGGAAAAAATATCTCTATCATCCTTGGAAAAGAAAGTGAATGTGAATAATTCACTTAACTGTGATGAGCTGTTTTCTCTCTCTTGTGCCTTTGACTAATGCCCTATTCTCCAGTCACAGCATGAACTCAATCCCATTTGGGAGCTGCTAAGGCATCTTTTCATCCATTCTTTGCTGCTATGATTATGAAGCTCACTCTCCAAATGTTCGATTGCCGAGACACCCGCCAGTGGGTGGCGATCCTTCATGGAGGAAGTGATCAAATATAAACCACTTTGGCAGCTTTCATCATCTCTCACTGAAATTCAAAGTCCCCACTACATCTAAATTAAACACACGACATACTATGACTTAGGTCAATCTCAATGGGTTAAAAGAGAAAATACTAACACATTCTGGTTTTTAATTAACAAGTAAACTTAGAAAAGGCAAACTTACTCACTACTGGGTTGCTCCACATAAATAAGGCCACAAGTTCTAGAAAATAAAAATAATTGGTTTTAAAACATTCTTCTGAAAGTGAAATCAAAGATACTATACCATTTAATGTAGTAAAAAATGTGCTAGTTCATAAAATTTAAAAGTCTAACTAAGAGATTCTTAGAAAACAGGGAGGCATACCCACTACAATCCTGCTAGAGCTGAAGTAATGTCATTACTTAAGATGCCAAAGCTTGAATATGAAATCAACTTAAATTTGATGTAATACACAGAACCAGTGTTCTCTCTGAGGAGGACTGGATTTGTGCATACATTATTATTCAATGACTTGTAAAGGACAGCAAGTCTGTCCTGGAAGTAATCAGAACACTGTGTAAAAGGCAGTTCTAAAAACTTTTACTCTTTCTGCAGCATCACTGCAAGCCTTGAGTTGCCTGGTATTTCTAGGTGAATATCATTTCAAGAAACAAATTCAGGTTATTCAAAACCAAAAAAACCTTCAAGTCCTTTGGTTTTTTGCAGATAACTGCTATTACAAATGAACAATAACAGTGCAGAATAAAAAATGTTCTTTGTTTTTTTTAAGCTAGATTCAAATTCTGAACAGCTGAAGCTGGCGGTATGCTTAATATGTCTTCAAAGTTTGCTTCCCAGGTCCCTCCCTCAATTTTACAATGAGCAAAAGAAAACTTAAAAATAAATAAATAAATAATAGTGAAGAGCTACTAGTGGGAAAACAAAACATGCACTTTTAAATATGGAATGACATTTCAGTGGTCCGCAAAAGACTTGCAGTGGATAAAAACTAAATATTTACAACTTCCATAGAAGTTTATAGCTTTAGGACAACAATAAGCTTTACAGGAAGTTGCAATACCCATTATTCAAGCTCATGAAAAGCATAATTGGTCTTTGAAAAGAATTTAAAAAAAGCACTGCACTTGGGTCTTGATTCAATGACCTACCAAGGGGTGATTTGCTATCCTTTCTTCAAGGGTCATTTCAGGGATATCTGACAGCCATTTCACAGTTCCGAAAGCAAATTGTTACACTGACTCAAACTCATACTGCTAAAAATATCAAGTATTACAAAGCAATGGTGTCAAATTATACAAGCATTAGGTAATGATGCTCCAATGTTTAATGAAATGAAGGTTTTCTACAGGTATTTGGTATGAAGAATTTCACAGACTGATGAAAATGTTTCAGAGCAGACTAGGTCTCCCGAATGTGCACGTTATGCTATCACACATCAGCACGCTGAAGTCCTGATCACCTCCATCTTCAGGTTGAGCGTAGAAAGTGTGGCAGCTGGAGCTGGAATCACAGCTCCAAAAAGCATTCATTTGACAACCTCGTGATTTTTAAGCAGTATGTAGAAAGTTCCTAGCACTCTGCCACAGGCATATTCAGTTTATCCCATACAAAGAAAAGAATATCCCTCTGTTTTGAATGTATAAACAGCTAAAGCACCGGGGAGAGTTTATCTGGATTACAGTTGAGATCTGCTAATGGAGCTGTCCTTACAACGCCCCTGGAGCCTGGAACACACAGGACTGGCACACAGGAGCTATCCTTGCTTGCGCCTTTCTTCCCTAAATTCCTTTGGATGAGATTGTTTTGCAGAGGATGAGGGAGTTGGAAATGGAAAGTTCCTTCAATAAAAATATTCCTTGGATAGCAAAACAATCTTCCTTATGTCTGGAAAAGGCTTAACAAGAGAACCTGATGCCCTTTGTTGCGCTACCCTTACTGCCACTTGTATTGCAGCAACAGGATGGTTCAACAAAGGGCTACGCTATAGAGCACATGTAAGACGTTTTTACTCAACACACGTGAACAGCTCCGTTTAAGTGACTTGTAAATACCACTACACAGAGTTTAATGAGCACTTCTAATATAATACAGAAAACGTGGACAGGCATAAAAAAAATCATCATTTCAAGATGAAAAGTATGCATACTACCTTTCAAACTTGTGATATAGTGCAAGTAATACATCATATTTCTTTTTCAGCCTTGATACAGTGCTATCAACTTTAGTGCTTACAGTATCCATGTTAACATCCACCTCTTTCAGGTACTGAAAAAACGTGCATACACTGAAAAAAGAAAAAGGAAAAAAAAGGTGGATTATCGTAACTGAGAATGCCTATTCTGCAGCATTTATTAGACTATAACCTACTGACCAGATTTCAGAATATTCTTACTAAAAGTAACTGCGAACCTTGCTTTGCCAAACAGTATTTTAGCCCAACATCTATGTTCTCTAAGACTGATATATATATATATATATCAGCCTGTATCACTGCAGACCTATTCCTCTAAGACTGATAATACATATATAAATATATGTGTGTATATATCACTGGAGACCTATATATACACACATATATATAGCAGTCTTAGAGGAATAGGTCTGCAGTGATACAGGTTCTGCTACAGACAGAATTTTCTGGCTAGCACAAGTATCTTTGGAAGTCAGAATTTGCTGACTAGACACATCTTGCTCCCTTGATGTGCCAGTAAAAGCACAAATAAATCACATGGAATTCCTGACTCTTCCATTCTAGCTAAATACTCGACTTTTAAAACGTTCTCTCTACACTAGAAACATGAATGTTGCCTCCATCCATACTAAAAAAGGAACCTCAGAGTGAGACGAATACACTGAAATCTAGGGAATTTCAAGACTTTTCAGCAAGTATTTGGGGCAAGGTTGAAGGGCATTCCCCACCCCTGGGAAACACTGTTGTACAGGGGACCAAAGTTTTCCCCACTCACATGGGTAATATTATGATGATAAAGAAAATATTTTGCTGCCTTTGTAAAATGAGCAGATAGCTAAAAATGAAGGAGGAGGAAGCGATCAAGTGTATTTTGATCCTCAATCAGAATATGTAGAGAGCTGTGTTTGTCAGATTAAAAACAGAACAGTCCCAAAGCCACCCAGAAATTCTTTCACTGTGAAATGAAAAATACTTTCTAGAGTTGCACTAGAAAGGAAGGCAACTGGTAGAAATCTCTGCCAGTTTTGACATTATAACTGATGAGAAGCCCAGGGCTAGCAGGCAATGGAGCGTTGCTAAAAATCAGAATCATCAGAAGTAATAGTTTACTTTTCAAAACCCCAAGGGAAAAAGTCTCCTTGAGCTGGCAGTGTTAGTTGGTCTGGCTGAATGTTTTCTGTGCTAGAGTGGAACATACTGAACACCACTGCACAAGCATAATTAGATTTCAGCCAAGCAGTTCGAAGTCAGTCTAGGCTGAAGGGACTAAATCCAAATACAGGACCTGACCACTGTGCTGGGAGACCACGTGTGGCAGAAGAGGCAGGGAGAAGTCTCATTTTAACTGGCAACTTCCAAGTAACAGCCCTTAATTCCCTTGTTCGGTGGCTTCCTTGGGGATTACAAGGATGAGGAAGGAACAGAACGACTCGCTACCATCTCCTACAAAACACTCAGCTCCCACAGCTGTAGGCCAGGGCTTCAGCGCCAGCAACACGCAGCAAAGCACCAAGCTGCTGACAAATGACCAGCAACAACAGGATGCTTTTCAGAACCAGAAGACTCTGCTCGGGCATATGTTGTCTATGCAGGGTGCAGATATTATGCTGACAGTACCAAAAACTGTATTCTTCAGGTGAACTTAAGCCTAGACCTATTACAGTTGCCATCATGTTTACATTAAGAATTCATTTAATGTCATTTCTCTATCGTGCAGGAACTTACTGAATGTAAAAACGTAACTGTAACAGTCACGTAGCAAAAAGCATTTAAAAAGGCACAAAATTTTGACTAGTTTTTGTAGAAATTAGCATCACGTTGGCAGACTAATGAACTGGAAGATTTTTTTCTCAACTCTTGATCTACCGTGAGACTAATGCTTTCAAGAAGGGTTTTGCAGGGAAAATTTGGTGCATGGAAAGAATGAAAAACATTTCAAATATAATTTATACCAATTAAATTAAGGAAGACCTGAGATTTAACAAGAATCACAAAATTAACACAATACAAGAAGTCAATCAGTTGAAACAAACTCAAAATATTATTGGTTCCTTAACTAAAATATAACAATTTTTCTAGTTTACTCAAATTAACTAATTACTCTAAGTAACCTTCAATTCAACTCTCTTGATACGAACAAAAATTCACAGTTTAAAAAAAAAAAGTGTAAAGAAAAACTGTGCTTTTTATCAACTATCAAATAGCATTGTTATATCTCAATGAAAACTTACCTTATGCTTATACTCTTCAGAAGCTCTGTGAAAGTGAACGTCATTTCATCCAGGTCAATTGACGCAATAAAGATACAGACTCCCCAAGTTTCCTTTTTCTTTTTGTTATAAGCCTTTAATAAATAAAATAAATGTTCATTATTTCTATTATATATTACAAGTAGTTTCTATATAGAGAACATTATTATTTTCAAACTAGAAACAAGAGACCCTCAAGTCAATATTCGGCTAGGAAATCCAATTATTTGGAAAGTAAAAACTGTTAGAAGTTTTCCAACACAGATGAAAGTTCAACTCTTAACTCCCACAGCGTCGGATCCATTTTACCTGCACACTTCAGCAGTAATGCTTTAGAATAGAAACTCTGCTCCCAATTAAAGTTTATGCAAAGCAGAAGCTGTGATATTTTGCTAATGTTTATTAAAACTACATGTGGATCAAGCTTTCAAAGTAAGAGCTGTTTAAAGAAATTATGTAGATGTTTGTAGAGTCAGTACTCTCATTAAGACACTACAGACTAGGGAATGATGGGGGATGCATTTGTTCCAAGAAAGAAAGTAGCCATAAGACAAAGGAACATAAAAATATTAGAAGGACAACAACAAAACACTCAGGAACTTTTTTCTGTATCTTGATCAGTTATCACAGCTGAACCACAAAGATGTCTCTTTCCTTAGTAAGACATAATAGTAAGAAACACCTTCAGCCATGCTCCTAGGCCACGTTTATTTCTGAACAGTTCAAGTTTAACTGATCATTGATCACACAAGAGCAATACCATACAGATGTGCCATCTACATGGAGCACATTCCCAAAGATTCACAGGTCAATCACTTGGAGGTGGTCAGGATTCAGCTGCAACTACAGGAAACAGAAACACTGTTTCCACTGAGACAGGCACCTGAACAACAACAACAAAAAATTCTAGAAAGAGCAACATTTTGCAGATCCAGGAAAAAAAAAATCCAAGCAAGTATTCTACAGGGTTTGGAAACAACTCCACAAAGTGCTCCCAAAAGGCAATACAAGCAACATGACACCAGATGTGGCTCCCTCCGCCTTATGTCATCTTCCAGAGTTATCCCTGAAGGCTTCGCATCCCCCCAGGCACCCACCTGGGTCCTCGCCAGGGGACAAGTCCGCAGCCTCAGGCATCTCGGCTCTCAAGGAGTTTCAACAGCGTGGAAGCTGCCAGTTACTTAAATTACTGTGTTCTTCCCATATTCCCGTTTTGAGTTTTTCTATGTTTACAGCATAAAGTATTTTTTACAAAACCTCATAAAAGGCTGAGGTACCTTTGATGATGTCTAGAGGAATATACATGGTCTTTTGTTGTTGCTTATCAGAGACCCTCATCTTTTAAATGTTTCATGTGCAATTCTGCATCACCAGCAACGTAGAAATGAGGCAGGCAAAAATTTGTCCTTGAGACGTTTACACAGTTCGAAGGGTTTATTAAGAGGTACATTCCCACAGCTGGACAGTTTCAGCAGGTACATTAAAAAAAAAAAAAAGCCTTGTGTATGGAATTTTTCTTCTCCCCTCCTTGCAGTAATCTGTTTTAGGACATCAAACTAACCAATCAGCTCCTGGGAAGAAGGATGACTACTCATTTACTGAGGTCAACAATGCCACTGGAATTGACTGCTCTTGTTCAATAAACGAGTCCCCTTCACTTCATGCTCCTACACACTTACACTCTAACTTTGTTCCACAAGTGTCCCAGAGGGCCAGAGGTAAGAGAAGGTGTCATTTTTCTTAGTTTGTTGCCTATCCAAGCAAGCTCAATATAAGCTCAGGTCTATACCAGGAGAATAGATGCCTGAAGGTTATAGGAAAGGGCTGTTTAGTACAAACAAGTTTTGTTTCTCTAAAAATGATCTCTAACTACCTTATCAAACCTGTACAGTTCCAGAAAGTAGCCTCAGAGGCAGCTTTACTGGATTCAAAACGTTGCAGTGAGTCGAAAAGTTCTACTATCAGATATCCGCATATCCACCACCAAGGTTGCAGGTTGCATTTGGCATCTTCTCCTCAGCTAAACAAAAACTGCTAAATGACTAGTAGCCTAACAGAAAAAAAGTTTGAAGAAACCAGGATAAATTAACACATCATGAATTTTGTCCAGTAGCAAAGAAAAGGTGAGCAGCAGCTGAGTGTGCCCTTCCCCTGATGCCAATGAGTGAGGGAGAAGAAAAAACATATAAATACTGGACTGGGACTATCCCACCAAAAACTCAAAATGTGGACGAACTGCAAGTTCACAGGAAATAACTTCATTAAAATCTTCATGCATAAGTATATGCAAATGGTTTTAATACATAAAATAAATATGATGGGTAGGTGAAAGAGAGGAGAAGAGGGAGCCAAAGAGCTTCTTGTTACATCATATTCCTCAGTACTCTCCTCTCCATATTTACAAAGCTCATAAACAGTTTTTTTGTTTGTTCATTTTTTTAGTTATTTCCTATACAAAAGTTTAAAGCTGAAAGGAGAGCAAAACGCAGCAGCATCACTCAATTCAAGTAATTTGACAGCGCTGTACCTTTGGGGTAGCCAATCCTGTGACACAAATAAACACTTTGTTTAGAATTAGAACCAGGCAATTCATCTCAGACTTGAGGGTGTAGGAGATGCAACAGAGATTTATTGCTAAAAACCCATTGTTGATAAGATTTCTTACTGACTACACTCTGACCCAAGATCTTGTTGATAGAGCACCAGCACAGAAAATGTGAAGGACAACAGTTTAACGTTTCCGGTTTTGGCTATCGGTTCAAATAAGGGGATTTCCAGTAGCCTTGGTTAGCTCATCAGGAATTAAAACATATCTAGTTCTAACTCAAAGATTTTTTAGCACCTAACATACTATATGAAGTTTTCGTAGGACTTTGGAGAACCAATGTTCCAACTCCTTACAGTACCAATCAGTTCAATTAAAACAATTTAGCCTTCTGCAGAACAAAAACAACAAAAAGACTTAGCAACTCTTCCAACAGTATTATTTATTCCACATTCAAGAGTTATTAATATTATTCTACCTATTTTTAGCAGATCATCAGCTTCCCTAAGACTAGGAAAAACAGCCTGTAGGAATCAGGATTAAAATGCTCATGAGCCTGAACTGTTGCTAAACAGAATCTCTGCCTGCCTTCTCACCAGGTGCTCTTGCAAGGCACTTAAAGCATCAATAGAAATCTTTTTTTTTATTTTTAATCTCTAGAGAGACTCTCCAGTGCTAAACCAGATATAAGGAGGGGACAGTAACTGAAATTCAGCTCCAGCTTGCAGGTTGACACGTTTATTATTCTGTCAACACAAAATAATTTTAATGAGAGCCTGCAAGAGTGAACCAGTAATAGAAGCTCAAAATAATGTCGCGTGGAAGAAGGTCAAGAGAAAGATAAAGACCTACAGAAGTTTTCTGAAAAAGCAGGAAGTGAAAAAATGTACCTACTATCTACATATAAGAAGTTAAGTGTAAAGACATATCCTCTGCTTTTCAGCAATGAGGGCTTCCAATTTTCTATTGGTCATTATTTAGAATTGTAGATTGCTATTAACAAAGAGCAAATTAAATGAAATTCTAATATAACACTAGGTAAAAATAACGGAAGGCAATGGGAATCACTTAACTTATAAAAAATGCATTATGTATACAGCTAGATTGGAAGGAATATCACTCTTTTCCAGGACAGACAAAAGATGAGTGCTAGTGAACTATTCTTTTGAAGTGAAAGGGCACAATGCAGAGATGCAATGAATGTGCTGATAAGGCACTGAATACCACCAGCAAGAAGCCACAGTAATGATTTAAGCTTGCTTCAGGGCTGTCAGCAGCTTTCTTTTTTGATTTTGCTTAAACTAGAGTACGTGCATATTCATCTTACTGTTGCCCAATAGCTCAGTTTAGATTCAGGGCTTTATCAGTCCTACAAGACCTGTAATTCTGCACATTCAGCCAAAGTTTCAGTGGATTCAGGTTTGGTTTGGCTGCAGTTCCATAAATAAAGAGATAAAGCTCTGTTCAGAAATGACTTATTAGCTCACGTGTGCTTAATGCTTTTGCCAAAAGCAAGAAGCTTCTACATGTGTTTTAACATGAAATAGGCAACTTATCAACTAAAATGTTTGTTCTTTGTCACAAGGAACAACAAGCAAAGGAACTGATTCAACTTAAATGTGAAAGTTTACAAGTTTAGAATATTTGACCTACTGATTGCAAGCTTAGATGTCTAAAGCAACCACTATACTTCAGAGCTTATTGTTTTTGCTCTATTTAAGCTGCAGGTTTTGTTTTTAAGGTTTTGTCACCAAGAATATAGTCTAATTCTTGCATGACTCAAGTGCTCTACACTAGCCATGTGCCAGCCTAAGTCCTCACCTGGGGAAAATTTCAGAAATTGAGTAATATGAACCATTAGAAACAAGGTAAGATGACAAGCATGCTTAGATACTGGCAACTTTCTGAAAACATCCTTATGTAAGGCCTATGACAACTTGAATTGTAACACAGAAATCAACTAGTTGCTTAGGGAAAAAAAAAATTACAATGATTGAAATTTAAAAAGGACTAACCAAAAGATATAGCAGATTTTTCATCATTGTTTTAAATAGCGGGTTAGAAAGACACCAAACCAAAACAGTTTAGGAATGAATCAATCTAAAGAGGTGAGCAGTAAAGAGGAAACAGGGTAGACCACATTTCTCAAGCAGTGTGATAAACAGGAAACAAGCAAAATAAACCAAAAAAAATGAAGCCCCTACCTAGGCACTGCACACACTACGGCAACATGAGCTGCTGAGGCTGAAACACACAGACCTTATGCACTCAGGTCTTTTCCACATTCTAGTTTCTATCAGTTTCCATTTCTTTTCTGCACAGGTTTGGATTCAATTTTGTCAATAGGCAGTCCGTTCCATATACTGGTTCTTTCCATTATATTAAACAATAATTCACATCAGTTTATTTTGATTGTCATTTTGCTGTTCTTTGTCCAACAAATAGCATCAGAACATAACAGATATCCCGAACCTCTTGTTAGCAGCATATATAGACATTGGTTCCAGTACCTCCTCCTAGCCTTCCTCACATGAGCAACCACACA